TTGTTGTGGTTACTTTTTGTATTCTGCTCTGTGCTTTGATTACATGTTCTTAAGTTAAAAACATGAGAAAACATATAAGATTACAAAGATTAGAGAAGGGTCTTCAATAAATTCAATAAGAAATTATGTTTATTTTGCTTCCTTTGGCTTCTTTGGTTTAATTTATAAATGTGAATCTTTAGATGATTAAAGTATACTTGGTAATTACCTACCTATTTTTTTTGTGTGGAAAGGAAAGAGAATTATTTTTATCCAACCATTTTTGGAATCCAGTGGCATGAAACAATCACAGTTTTATAATCCATTGTGCTTATGGACTATTTGAATTTTAATCTTATGACAATCATCTGAGATATCCTCTCAGCTCCTCTGCAAAATAAAGAGCATTTTATTATTATTAGATAGCTGAAATTTGAAGTTCTCCTAATATTAAAATACTGTTTTTATACCACAATATATGGAGGAAATTCTTCATTCTTTGCTCAAAACAAAAAAATGTATTTTGTATACATATTAAATGCATACATATTTTAAATATATACATAAACTCAACAGTTTCAGATTCTGTCATAACAACACATATTTACCCTTCTGATTCAGCTTTTCTTACTTGTGGCTTTTTTGTTGTTGTTGTTGGTTGTGGGGCTTGAACTCAGGGCCTGGGCGCTTCAGCTCAAGGTGAGCACTCTACCACTTGAGCCACAGAGCCACTTCCAGCTTCCTGGTGCTTAATTGGAGATAAGAATTTCAGGGAATTTTATGTCCAGGCTGGCTTTGAACTGCAATCCTCAGATCTCAGCTTCCTGGGTAGCTAGGTTTACAGACATGAGCTATGGCACCCTGCCTACTTTTGGCTTCTGTTGGACATTACATTCATGTGCATCCTTATATGTATGTATGTAAACACACACATAAATACATATTTTTTGAAGAGGACTATCTCTCACTTCAGGCTGCTGAACTTGAGATAGATCATTCTGACTCATCTCCGTAGGTCGAGAATTACATACGCATGTTTCAAAACTTATGACTGAATATTTTCTAAATATGCAATCACAATACAGGTTTCTAAGATGCTTATTTTCTCAACCTGTTTTAAAATATTCAAAGATAAATATGATTTTTTAAAAATAAGAGTGCTCCTATTGCATCCAGGAATCATGAAGTAATAGAAATCACAGAAAATGAATCCTAAATCGTTACTTACAGTAGATGGGCAAGCCTGAACCAAAGTGACTGTTGAATAAGACACTATTAACCTAGGACACCCAATGAAACTTTATTACCTGCAAGAATATGGTTCTACATCAATTCTCTCATGTACTTTTGACATAGGTTGTTGAGGGAAATTTATGGTTTTTTTTTTCCTCCCAAAAAAAACCCCCAAAGAAAAGAAAAACAAATTAATGGTAATCCAAAAAAATTAATGCTTAATGAAATGCCTGGAGAATGACCATTAATTGTCAGAGATAATTTGTAGTCAATTGTGACTTCATTAATAGATTGTTTGAGCACACAGTCCCAATTCTGTGGTCTATTATTCAAATGATTTCAGAGATACCAGAATGCATGATCATTTTTAGTATAATTTGAAATGATCAAGATTTAATAATAGCTATACATTCATGAATAAATGGATAAATAAAACATGGTAGGGACAATTGATCACCTTAAAGCAATATCTTAGAATATTCCATGAAATGAATTAACCTGGGGGTCATCACAATAAATAAAATAAACCAATTACATAAAACAAAAATAAAAGGGCAGGAACCTACCATCCAGAGGTATCAGAAACACTCAAATGTATATAATCTGTAAATAGAATGCCAAAAGCTAGGAAGTAGCTGCAATAAGGAATTGCTAAAAATATTTATGGAATTGCAAGAATATGAAATAAATAATTTAGAGAGTCCTGCTGTTAAATATTTTGTCTCTAGTTAATAGTATTGTACTGGGTATATTACATTATTAGGAGCATACATCTCATTTTGATCACAATGAAATAACTAAAAAGCAAAATGAATGCAATATCAATACATGCAACAGGTATGCATCCTGATGAAAGCATCTTCGATTAAATTCTCTAATACAACAGTATATTAAATGAAGTACTTGTTATAAACAAAGGACACATCCCAGGAATACAAGGATAGTTTAATAAAAACAAATCAATAAATATACCATATCAAGAAAATAAGGGAAAAATAATCTCAGTAGATCTATGAAGTATATTACAAAAGACTTAATATAATTCATGACAACAGTACAGCAAATGAAGTTTAGAAGGATGTTCTTTTACATAATCAATGGTTTTATAAGAAGCCATCAATTAACATTGTAATTAGAGGCAAACACTGACAGTTCCTTAACTAAGATCTGGTACAGGAAACTGATGCTTCCTTCTGCCTATATTTTTCAACATGTTTCTGGAAATTCTAACTAAAACAATCAGTTAATACAAAGAAATGCAGGGAAGTCATCTCTGATCTTGCTTGCCTGAAAAATCACTCTATTCTAAAGGAGAGGTTTGCTGGTGCAGCAATTTTCATTGGTAAGGTTTTTGTGTTGCTTTAAATAAAACTGTAAAAAAAGTTATTAATACTCTTGACTAGTGAGGTGTCTGCTGAGAAGTGTGCTATGAAGCTGAGAAAATGTTATATATATATATATGTGTATATATATATATATATATTCTTTAAATAGCTGCCCAAGGGGACTTAAGTTTACTGTCCACTTTGATGTACAATGCACGAATCTTGATCTGTGGCTCCTTTTCCATCATTTTCCCTCCTCTTCCCAACTTCATCCATCCACTCAAGTTAATCTGATTCCATTCAGAAGGGTAAGAGACCACAGTGATAATGTTGAGTGTACATATGTCAAATTGGGAGATTCTAGGTTATATTCCTTGTTTTGAGTGACTTCTATTAAATGTATTGACTATTTTCATGATGGAGCCGCGTTAGCACCATGCCTTTTGAAATCAGCAATGCATGCTGCATTCTGAACCCACCCTGGGGCAGAGACCAAAGACTGTGTTATATGTGCTACTTATTGCTGAGTTTCACTCATGACCCAATCAATTCAAAGTCTTTTCAGAAACAAAGCACAGTTAAATTAATGAGATTACATATGGTTATTTTCTCCAAGTTAGAGGATCAGTTCTATGCAGAGTGGATACAAAACAATAGCTATAAACTGCAATAAGGAATAAACACACACATATATGTGTGTGTTTGTGTGTATACACACATATATAGGTATATATATGCATATACATACATATGTGTGTATATATATATATATATATAAAATCATCTATGAGGAGGAATAGGAACAAACCTATTACATCATAGAATAGATATTTTTGGAAGAAAAAATAACTACAAATTTTAGCAAGAATTATGTGTTTACACATTTAGGACACAGCAATCCATTCATCAAAAACAGACATTAAGGACATGAAACACTAAAAAGGGTATCTAAATCAAACAAAACAAACAAAACAAACAATAAGCAAAACACATAAAATGCAAAACCCTAGAAGCTTCTGTAGCAAATGTCAATTGATACACTATTCTCATTCATCTAATCATTGAATTGAGAAAAATTTAGTGATGCAATGAAACATCTCAATGCTGATTAGCAACATGATTTAGTAGATGCTCTTGTCCTCATAAATAAAAGTAAAAACACCAATGAACCACAAGAAGGTCTATAAGATCCCAAGATTGAACAGAGGCACTCGAACACTTTTCTGTGATTGATTTCTTTTTCTCATCATGCTGCATTACACTACTTGATTCCACAGTGAAGTTTGACCTTTTTTAGCTGGTCCTGGGGCTTGAACTCAGGGCCTTGGCACTATCCTTGAGCCTCTCTGTGCTCAAGGCAAGTGCTCTATCACTTAAGCTACAGCACTACTTCCAGATTTTTCTGTTTATTTGGTACTGAGGAATTGAACCCGGGGTTTCACACATGCTAAGCAAGCACTCTACCACTAAGACACATTCCCAGCCCATGATTTTTTTAACAGCTTATAGAAATGCTTGGATCCTCAGATAGGTATTCATTATACCTGGGGACTGGAAATATTTTTACAATATCTGAAAATATTACAATAATATTTACTCCTTTTTATATCAACTATTCTTCAGAGCCGCACAGCATACCATTTTCCTGTATCTACTGACTTTTACATATAGACCCTTTCTTTTTTCATAAATAACTCACTCAAATATTGTATTAATATCATTTCTTCCTAAGGAAGGCAAAATACTTTTCTACTTAGTTTGCATAGGTATTTATGGCATTTTGAAATTCACCTAGACAATGAAAGAGAATCTTTAAATATATGTTGAGCTTATTTGTGTGTGCTACTCTACATTCTAATAAACCAACCTAAGTTGTTGGACTTATATTTTAAATTTAATTTTATTGTCAAGGTGATGTACAGAGGGGTTACAGTAACATACATAAGGGAGTGAGTACATTTCTTGCCCAACATTGTTACCCATCCCTCATTTTTCTCCCCAGCCCCCCCCAACTGTACAGCACATTTCTAACATATTGTCTTGTGTCATTGTTGCATGGGTTTCCTCTTTCTCTTTTGGCTCACCATTTTGTTGTTCCCCTTTCCTTCCCTAATTTAGATAAACACACACACATATATAGAATAGGATATATATGCATATATATACATATTTATATGTGTGTGTATATATATATAGATATATATATGTATATATATACCCCATGGTACCAAAATCAAATACAGTGACAGGAGGAGTAAGGGAAAATCACAAAAGAAAAGTAAATCATATAGTACATTAAAAGTAAGAACAGTGAGGTAAAACCTCTTGTTTCCATGTCTTGGAGTTCATTTCCCTTAGCATCATCTTATATGGTCATTGAGGGAACAAAAGATTTCTCTCTCTCTTTTAGATTTTTATATTCTGTCTTCTTTACCTTGTGCATGGTGCATTCAGGTGTATCCTTTAAGAAAAAAATTTGCATATATTTTCCCTTGTCCTTTGTAGGGCACATTTTACATCTTTGTTTCTCAAGCTGTATATCAAGGGATTCAACATTGGAATGACCAAGGTATAAAATATAGAAGATACTTTATCGGTATCAATCGAGTGACTAGACTCAGGTTGCACATACATAAATATCAGAGTTCCATAGAAGACAATGACCACAGTCAGATGGGATCCGCAGGTGGAGAAAGCCTTGCGCCTGCCCTCAGCAGATTTCATCTTCAGAATGGCTATGAGAATGAGCAGATAGGACACAAGGACGATCAGAAGGGAGATAAGCAAATCGAATGCTGCGAAGATCATGATTATAAATTCGATTCCCTTCGTATTTGAGCAGAGCAAAGATATCAAGGGAATACAGTCGCAGAAGAAATGATTAATAACATTATAGCCACAGAAGGACAGAGTGAAAATCTTTATGGTGACTAGAAGAGACACAAATGTGCAATAGAGATAGGGAATTGCCACCAGGACCCAACACACCCTTTGTGACATGACAACGGTGTAGAGCAGTGGGTTACAGATGGCCACGTAGCGGTCATAGGACATGGCCGACAGGATGAAAAGTTCGCTACCAATGAACACCAGAAAGAATGCTAGCTGAGTAGCACAAAGATAGTAGGAGATTGCATTTCGCTCTGCAACAAAATTGACCAACATTTTGGGTCCTACAGCGGTAGAATAACCAAGATCTGTGAGAGCCAGGTGCCTGAGGAAAAAGTACATTGGAGTCTGTAGCCTGGAGTCCACCTTGGTAAGGGTGATAATTCCCAAGTTGCCCACCACGGAGACCATATAGATGGCAAGGAACAGCACAAACAATGGCGCCTGCAGCTCAGGACGATCCGTGATGCCCATCAGGATGAATTCTCTCACCACCGTGAAGTTGTGTGTCTCCATCCTGTGTTTTCAGAAAGCCTATATAGGATAAAGGCATTATCACAGCGAATTGGTTTCAGATATTTTCACCTGCAGAAATTTCTTATGGAATTCTAATTTCAATGAGATACATCCAAAGTTATCAATACAGACTATGTGAAAACAAATGCACTTTTTTTTTTACCATAACTGAGTATCTGCCTCCGTATGAATAGAGAGATATATTAATGTATTGATTCTAAACTAAGGTAATTTTACTCATATTATCAAAAGCAAATTAACTTTTTTTTTGTTTTTCATTGACAACTGAATGGACCACAGACCGTGAAAATACCCAGCATCCTCTTACATCCAGTATCCAGTCCAAAAGACTTCCAGGAAAAAGAAATAATAGTTCCAGACTTGAGACACCCAACTAGATAGCTAGGCAAATATATGTATACATGCACATACATAGATGTGCAAAACAAAAATGTTTAAACTTTTATTACCTTACTATCACATCACTTGATAACCATCATTATAATCATGTTATGGAGGTTATCTATTTGTCATTCATAAGCCTCCAACAACATTGTAGTATGCAACAAATATATTTAATAAAATGGTATAATAAGTCAAATCCAACAATATACTAAGAGAAATTTTTAAGAAAAAGTTTTAAGAAAAAATTCCTAAAGTTGGTAATATTCCTAAATTTGATAACATTTTATTTGTACATGTATGAATAAAAATCTACAGATATATAATCTAAAAATCTATAATTAATTTCAGAGGAATTTATGTTTATATGAAGAAACAAACTGGAGGCATATGTATGCAGATATATTTGGTGTTATACATGAAATTTAGAGACTACTTATTTACTTTTTATATGTGCATGTGCTGGTTCTGGGACTTGAGCTCAGGTCCTGGGTGCCATCCCTAAGCTTTTTGGCTCAAGATAGTGCTCTATCACTTGAGCCATAGCTCCATTTCTGGGTTTTTGGTGATTAAATGTAAATAAGTTTCACTGACTTTCCTTTTGGGGTTGGCTTCAAACCCTACTACTCAAATATCAGGCTCTTCAGTAGCTAGGATTACAGGCATGGACCATTTTGATTGGCTTATACATTTGCTCTCAACAAATAAATTACCTAAGTATTTTAAATTTCTCATGTAAAACCAACATGTCATTGTAGTGTTGTTGGCAAAGATAAAGGATAATTCAATCATTCAGTGTGCATAGAATCTGGAAGTAATTTTCAGAGAGCATGCATGCATTTATTTATGTTTATTTGTATTTGCAAGTAGTGATACTAACTTACCTAAAAGTAGCTTTGTTGACTTGTGCACATGTGCATTCTTCTACATGTGACTCCTTTGTCACTGCTAAACGGAAGAACCAACAAGAATATCTGAAGTGGGACATATAAAATGCTATGAATCAATAGCATGTTATGTATTTACTCTAACCTTGCTGTGTCTCCACCCCAAGACTACATTCAGATAATCAGTATGGTGTTGTTCTATATCATATATTCTATTCTTAATAAGTATTTGGATACATTTCAGTAAGTATTATGGTATGAAATTAATATTTTTACATGAAATTTTTATTTTGAAAATACTGTACAGAGGGGTTACAATTACATGGGCAAGATAATGAGTACATTTCTTATCAAGCATTGCAGCCTCCTCCTTTGTTTCCCCTTCCCATCCTCCCTCTGCCCCCCCTTCCCTGTCCTCCTCCCCCCATCAAAGTTGTAAAGTTCATTTTCAACATAACGACTTGTACATCTAGACATTATTTTGAATATTATTCACCTTACTCGTGTATCTCAGTTTTAACTTTAATACAGCAAATCTATCATGCAATAATTTGGTGAGGTAAGAGAAATCAGAGTCAACTGGGAGAAGAGGAGTCATTGACACTTTTTTTGTCTTGTTTTATTTTGTTTTTTAACCAGTGAAGATTGGTTAAAAAAGAATTTCTTTAACAGGGGGATCATAGCCAGGCATTGGTGGCTCATGCCTGTCATCCTAGCTATTTGAGAGGCTGAGATCTGAGGATCAGGGTTCGAAGAAAACAGACTGGGTATGAAAGTCTGTGAGGCTCTTGTCTCTAGTTAGCCACCAAAAAACTGGAAGAGGAGCTGTGGCATGACTGGTAGAGTGATAGCTTGAGCAAAACAGTTCACAGACAGCACTTGTTTTCTGACTTCAAGACTAGGATTGGCACCAAAAGAAAGGCAGGGGAAAGGGATTCTATATTTGCAAGAGAAAAATTGGGTGTTTTTTAAATAATACATGTAATAATCCTAAACCATACAAAACATTTATTATGACACATTGTGGAAACCTGTTAACATGACACATAAAATAAATAGAAGACACGTATAGGACAGAAACCTGGATTCTCTGATGTGCTTTGGGAAGCTCAGCGTGATATTCCACAAGAACTTTTTCCTGGTAGGATATACTGTATTTTGCAGATGAACATGTGTGTAAAAAATGAAACATCTCTGAATATATCTCATAGGCCATAGTTAGTAACTATAGTACAGGAGCTAGAGTTATCCATCTTATAATTAACAAGATCCATTCTCTTATGAATGTAATTTGAACAAGATAATTATCATTTTTGTGAAAATTCTGAGGATCAATTAGCCTAAAATTAAATTAAATTTAAAAATTAGAAGAAGGAATGGCATATATTCGTGGAAATTCTAGTAATAGACCTCTGTGCCTAAGCTACAAATAACTAAACAAAGACACAACAGTTGTGTGTTATTCTATGCAAAAATGATTACACGTAAATTGCACTAGATTCGCATAAATCATTATTGGTATGATTATGGTGACTAGTATCTGGCCCTGCTACATTCAAACACTTTCTTACAACAAACATTGCCATGTATACCAACTTATTACATTGGATATCTTCAATAATTGTAAGTAGCTAGAATTAATTTTTTGTTGTTTTGTTTTGGTTGGTTTTGTTTGGAACCACCAAAGCTACAAGCCAGACTTCAGTGATTCACACCTGTTATCCTAGCTACACAAGAGGCTGAGGTCTGAAAATCACAGTCATCTCTGGCAGGAAAGTCTGTGAGACTCTTATCTCCAATTAACCAGCAAAAGACTAAAAGTGGTATAAGACAGCCTTAAGCAAAAATGAAAGTACATATCCCTGAGTTCAAACCATAGTACCAATATCGAAATAACAAGAAAGGAGGAAGAGGACCAAGAAATATAGCACACATGATAAATTAGTACCAATATTCCTTAAAGTAAAGAAAGATGAAGGTGTTTCCTGTCATTGTTTGTGTGGTTTAATGGAAATAAGTAATTTTTATAGTTTAATATAATTCTTGAAAATTTTTATTGCTTCAGTTGTAGAATCTTATTTATGTATTTTTATTGCAAATAGGCTGTATAGAAGGGTTACAGTTACATGAGTAAGGCAATGCGTACATGTCAATCATTGTTACCCTTTCCCTTCCCTGTTGTTTTCCCACTATCCCTTCCTGCCCCGACCTCCAATACTTCTCTCCACCCCAGAACATTACCCCCCACCTGCCCAAAGTTGTAAAGTTGTATTTTTAATCCTGTATTCCTGAAAATTTTAGATAGATTCTATGACAAATTGAAAAATATTTTACCATCATCCTAAAGCCGGCATTTAAAAAATGTTTTGTCACTCGCTAAATAAATGTGAAATGGAAATATCTTTATTAAAAACAGGAGTGAACCTCACATTTTATTTTCACAATAAGTATGAGAATCACAAAAATGGCTTTGAGCCTTTGCATACTTAATAGATAGATATTAGGGACTCAATTACTTGTTTGAATTAGGGCTTCTAAACGCTATTTCATATTCTTTTGTTAACTGTTTATCTTCACTCATTTTGACCTCAGATATAAAATCATATAAGTTCACAGAGAAATTAGTTTCTCCACTGAGGAGAGAAATATTTGAAAAATAATATGAAGTAAAAAGGAGATAGATCCAACAACTAGTCATGCCTTATAATACTCGATGAACTCCTGTCCTTCTTACCTGCAATAGAAACTCTCTGTTGATTCTTCCATACGGTTCCTTATGTTACTCATTTAAGAACAATTGATGAATTTCTTTTAACTTTAGTGACATTCCCAGAGGAATTGTTAAGCAATTTGTTGAATATCCCCAAAGCATTGAACTCTCTTTTATTATTTATTACTTATTTATAGTAGGAGCCAGCAAATTCACTTCTGAATGTTATCCAAAATATAGGTATTAGGATTTCAAAAAACTATTACCGCTGTCATTTCCACTTTGGAATAATTTGAAATAGCTAAGACTAGAAACAAGGTAAATATCCATTGATACGTCTGTCAATGTACAAATGAAATGATTCAATGCAAACACTGGAATATTAGTCTTCAAATTACATCTTGCAATATACAATGATAACAGTGAATCTGGAGAACATCATGTGAAATCAAATAAATAAGTCATGCAAAGGCAAATAGCTCCTTTCAGATCCCATTTACCGGAAGTAACTAAATTACTCGAACTTATTGAATCATACACTGTTTTGGTTTCAAATTGATAGGAGTTGTTTACACATAGACATGAAGTGTTAGCTATGCAAAATAAATGAGTTCCAGGAACTACTGCAGATAAAATGCTTATAGTCAACAGTATTACTTTGGGAATGTTAAAAAAGTATATATTGATGAAAAATAATCTCAATAGAACAATGTTATTTTTTGAAAGGAAAATTTCCCTACATATGATACAAAAGTTATTTATGATGCCTGGAATAAAGAAGGTGTCAACATCCATTGTTATCTAGACACCAAAGGCTCATCTCTGTAATCCTAGCTATTAAAGAGGCTGTGGTGTGAAGATTAAGGATAGAAGCCAAGCAGACAAGAAATAAAGCATTTCTTATCTCCAAATAAGCAGTGTAAAGCCAGAAGTGGAATATGTGGCTAAGTGGTTGAAAGCCAGCTCAGTGAAAGAACTAAGAAAGAGGCCCTGAGTTCAAGCCCCCATCTACTGTCCTGTCTATTCAATAACTCTTTTCTGTTATCCCAAGACCCCTGCTGATAAAAAAAAAACAATGTCAGAGGGCCAGGAACAGAAAGTCCACTTGACTTGTCCCAAGTACACTGAGAACAGGGCTAATTGCCTATCACATAATATGCCCAGTAGTTCATGGATCTCTGAATGATGATTATTTTTTGTTCTTGACTAGACTCAAACACTGTTTATAATTTGTAGTTCAAATACAAGTTGTCAATAGTGAACTAGAAATGTATGTTCTCACTACAAAATTATATTAGATATTTGTAGATAAGTCAAATAAAAAATTGTGAGTTTTATACTGCTGAATGTCTAATTCTTCAGAATTACTATTTTCCAGTTGATTTTGATGCTTTCATGTTATTTCATTTAACTGGACATCCTTCTCTAATTTGTTGTCCATACAAACTATTAGAAACTCATATTTCTATCATATTTGTTCTTTTGATATTCCTACCAAGAGGGTGGAAATGTTTCCATGAATCCATTTCTTCTGTAACCTTTTGGAGTTAACAACTTTGGTTCTTCATCTGCTTTATAAGTTTGTGTTATGATGTAGCATTATTCATTTCTAGTTCATTATAAAACAGAACCACATGTGTCAGTAATACAAAGAATTTGCTGTTGTGAATGTTTTGTGTGTATATTTTCTCCAATTTCCTATGGATTTTTAACTTTTTACTTATAAATCCACATATATATGTTTATCTATGTGTTTGTGTATTTCTTAATATTTGGTTCCCTTTATTAGAGTTTAGTGACCTTCTTTATCTCTTCTTTTTGTTGTTGTTACTTGTAGTCAGCCATGGGACTTAATTCAAGACATGGGTGCTGTCCCTGAGATTTTTCACTCAAGGCTAGTGCTCTACCCCTTTGAGCCACAGCACCAGTTTCTCTTCTGAATATTTCTGATTTAAACTCTTGATTGTCAGATTGGATGATAGCCAGTCCAATTTGACTTTGAATTAAATTTGTTTGGAATATCGTTTTACAATTTTTCACCTTTAGTCTGATTTTGTCTTTTCCAGGGAAGTGTGTTTCTCACAAGTAGAAAACGATTAGATATTACTTTTTTTTAATACAATCAGGCAATCTACAACTGTTTATTGAAGAGTTTAGGCTCCTTAGGAATACTATTAGGAATAGTATTTAGAGGAATATTCTAATCTGGTAGTTTCCTTAGATTTTTTTTCTAGTTGATTCAAATCATGTTTGTTCATTTCTATTTCTGCTATTCCTCTTAGAGATTTGCTGGCTCACTGAATTAATATTATTTGATTCTTTCTAAAATATGTTTGTTCATATGTTTTCCTCATGAGAATTGTTTGATGTTTTGATTTATTGATGTTTGACATCATACTACATTCTCCTTAGATATATAGCATAAATAAAAATTACAGAGTTATCTCTGTTTGATTCTTTTGAGTTGAGTAGTCACATCAATGTCATAAATCTTAACCTTTAAGATAGAGTGGAACACTGACACATGAATAAAATATGAGGGAAGTTAGTCACAAATGATAGAGCAACAAACAACTTCATTATAGATAGATATTTTATACAAGAATATGTAGCAAAACTCTATTACTTTATTTCATTAACACAATCAAACTAAAAAAATTAAATGTAAATGTATGCTTACATGAAGAGAGAAGCAAATACACAAGTACAGGCAACATTGGGAAGTTTGCTCTAAATGGACTACCATAAGAATATATTGACTATCAATATCTACAACCATTCATTTCCATACTACTTCCTCTACATGTTACTCTATGAGTCAATTTATTATTCACTTATATCTATTCCAATGTATTTGAGTATTTTCTTAATTAATAGTATACTACAGTTTATCTCTCCTGGTTTTTACTCTTAGTGTTAATCTGCTCCCAAGAAGGTCTATCAGGAAATATATATTAACCTCATTGTGTTCCATGAATCTTCTAAAGCCAAAAACCACAGGATAAAATTCATATCTCATGCAAGCTTTAGTGAACAAACGTTGCATATCTTTTTCCAAATCCTTTGGAGGGCATATTTTACATCCTTGTTCCTCAAGCTGTAGATGAGTGGATTTAACATAGGGATAATCATGGTGTAAAAGACAGAAGCCAGTTTATCAGTATCAAAGGAATGGCTGGATTTTGGCTGCACATACATAAATATTAAAGTCCCATAGAAAACTACAACCACGGTCAGATGGGACCCACAGGTGGAGAAAGCCTTGCGCCTGCCTTCTGCAGATTTCATCTTCAGAATGGCTACGAGGATCCACAGATAGGACACCAAGACCACCAGAAGAGACGAAAGTAAATTAAAAGCTGCCAAGATTAGAATGATCAATTCAATTTCATGAGTGTCAGAGCAGATCAACGTTAACAATGGAAGGCTGTCACAGTAGAAATGACTGATGACGTTGTAGCCACAGAAGGACAGAGTGAAAATCTTTATGGTGACGAGAAGAGACACAAACGTGCAGTAGAGATAGGGGATTGCCACCAGAACCCAACATACCCTTTGTGACATGATGACTGTATAAAGCAATGGCTTACAGATGGCAACATAGCGGTCATAAGACATGGCGGAGAGAATAAATAGTTCACTTATGATAAACACAAGAAAGAAAGATAGTTGTGTAGCACAAAGAGAATAGGAGATGACGTTTTGTTCTACCACAAAGTTTACCAACATTTTGGGTCCCACAGCTGTGGAATAACCAAGATCGGTGAAAGCCAGGTGTCTGAGAAAGAAATACATTGGGGTCTGCAGCCTGGAGTCCACCGTGGTGAGGACGATCATGCCCAAGTTGCCCAGCATTGAACTTAAGTAGATGATGAGGAACATCAAAAATAATGGGGTCTGCAGCTCCGGGCGTGCTGTAATGCCCATCAGGATGAATTCTTTCACCACTGAGAGATTGTATTTTTCCATCCAGGTTTACTAGAAAACCTGCAGTGGAAAGACAGTAACAAAGTCAGTATGTATATTTTAACCATGACAGGAAAAATTTTATCTTGCTTTTCAAATGGAGAATGTTGGAAAATAATCATACCTTTTCAAGTAGAAATTGTATTATAGGATGATACAGAATTATGTTATTTGTTCTCAAGTAGAGAGATTTCACTCACAGAAGAATGTTTTCCAACATCTGTAGCTCTTCTGTCACACCTGGGTTTGAAGGGCTCCTGGTATATGACAGTGACCTTCACTCAAGCTGACTAACATCCTCTATTACTAATATAACCTAAAAGGTTATGCAAGTAGATAAGCCTCCTCTGGGGTTATAAAAACCTTAGTCTATATACTGATACATATAAATATAAACATATATAGTTAGATAATGATAGATACACATATGTATGGTCTTTTTTTTTTTTTTTGGTCAGTCGTGGGGCTTGAACTCTGGGCTTGGGGGCTGTCCCTCAGCTCTTCAGCTCAAGGGAGCGCTCTACCACTTGAGCTACAGCACCACTTCCGGTTTTTTTTTCTGGTGGTTTATTGGAGATAGGAGTCTCACGGTCTCTCTTGACCGGGCTGGCTTTGAACCGCGATCTTCAGATCTCAGCCTCCTGAGTAGCTAGGATTACAGGCGTGAGCCACCAGCGCCCGGCTAACATATGTATATTCTTGCAAACTTGAAGTATAGGAAAAATACAGAAATTTCAACATTAAGAGATTTTAGATCAATGTATAATTATTTTACTCCTTGAACATTTTATTATATTAATTGCAGCCACATTATGACTTAATACATCTAGTACAATGATATGTCATTTGCTGGTTCTATATTAAACATTTCCAATGGCAAATTTCAAAAATGCATTAATTTCAACACATTTTTTAAAGTTTATAATCCACTTGGCTGGGCACCAGTGGCTCATGCCTGTAATACTATCTACTCAAGAGGATGAGCTCTGAAGATTATTCTTGAAGCCTGCCTTCACAGGAAAGATTATGAGATTCTTCTTTTCCCTTGGTGGTGGAGCTTGAACTCTAGGCCTGGGTGCTGTCCCTGAGTTCTTCAGCTTAAGGCAAGAGCTCTATATATTGAGCCACAGCACCACTGTGGTTCTCTGGTGGCTAATTGAAGAGTCTCACAGACTTTCCTGCCCAGACTGGCTTTGAACCGCAATCCTCAGATCTCAGCTTTCAGAGTAGCTAAGATTACAGGCGTGAGCCCCAGGTGCCTGGCGATTGTGAGATTATTTCCAATTAACCACTCAAACGCCAGAAGTGGGGCTGAGGCTCAAATGCTAGAGTATTGTCCTTAAATGAAAAACTGAAGAGATAATGCCCATTCTCGCAGTTCAAATGTCAAGACTGTACATACACCCAAAAATTTATACACTTACAAGTCCTAGAGTTAAATTTTTTAAAAAATCTGTCAGTACAAAAACTATAGGAGTTCACATCAGACATTACTTGTCTACAAAAAAGTAAAAATAGGTATGCTTATAGACACAGTTAATAACCACCATAATTTGTGGATATAGAGAGCAAATAAGTGAACTAAAACTCTATTCTAACCTATAAAAACAAAATCTCAGGGTTTTTGAAGAGCATGAAAGACATTTAAAATATTGAATATATCCAAACTACTTGAAAAGTCTTCCCCATATATCATGGACATAATTATCTTTGGTTTCAATTTGTTTTTAAAATGGGGAAAGTAGCCTAACTTCAAAAAGTTCTCTTTGAACAGATCTATGAGCATGCTTCTGTATAGAGACTGCACTTCTTTGTCAAGACTGAAGTGATGAGTGTTTGAAGAGAGGTAAGAAGATGAACATTTGCAACTTTCTTCAGTCTGTATCCCAACCTCATACTTGTCTGCAATGACTAAAATTGGATAGCATTCTGAAGTTTGGGATTGGTTATCTTCTATTTTTCAGAAAAAAGCAACATATTCACTGCAAAATAATGTGATGTAAATTCACTTAAATATTATTTTCCCTGGTGGTATTGTCATTTAATTCAAGATGTGCTCTGAAATATAGGGGCATATTAGATGTCCGTTATATGCAAGAACCTAGGAAATATGAAGGTATCTGAGCATAGTAGGAGAAACAGTTTATTGACATTGAATTCTAAATACTAAAGTTCCTTTTGGGTTAATGGGTACTATATTGGAAAAAAATATTTATAGCTGTTTTAATAATTTTTTAAAGTTGTATATTATGTATAATTTTACTATTGTACAAACTACTATTAAGATAAAATACAATGCCTTAAAGTTTTGTGGAATTGTTCCAAAATGTTTCATTATTTCCCTAAAATCTTCTTTCAAGAATAGCATATCATGCAGAAATAAGTGAAATGAACCCCAAGATAAGGATTCAAATGGTTTTTTTTTCTTGCAATTGTTTCTAACATATTTATAAGATGACTTTTTTTGTTGCTTTGTATGTCCCTCCCACACGGCATAACCCCTGTTTTCACTGTATTTGATGTTGGTATAATTTGTGGAGGGGAAGGGAAAAAACAAATTGTTTAAATAGAGGTACAGGTGGACCCATTGCAACAATGAGATGTACAAGTTGTTACGTTGAAAAATGAACTTTACAACTTTGGCTGGGGTAGGGGAGATGGAGGAAGGATGGGAAGGGATGGGAAGGGATGGGAAGGGGAAGAAAATGAGGAGGCAACAATGCTTGATAATAAATGTACTCATTACCTTGCCCATGTAATTGTAATCCTTCTGCACAGTATTTTCACAATAAGAAAGGAAGTTAAGGTAAATCTGAAAAAATGTATACAACCAAGTAAAATACTTTTGAATGTATCATTCTTGACAAATATAAGGTGTAGCTTAGCTGAAATAAAAATGTTATTGAGATTATATTCTATCTTAAATGTATAGTGAGAATCTTATTGAGTTAATATTTTTTCTCCTAAGCTAGGCACTTAAGATAATATTAAGATAGGCTAGTGATTAAGATCATTCTTATTACTGTACAAAATTCTATCAGTATTTATTAAATTATACTAGCAATATCAATATTAAACAAGGGGTACAAATGACACTCCTCCTTTTATAGATTATTTTTCTCCTTCAGTAGTTGTAGAGTTGTTGCCATTCAACAAAGAAGTATCTGACTACAATGCATCTTGATTAATATCTCCCCTTTCAACTTTCTCCCCCATCCTTCACTATCCCACCACTTCTTCCATTTTTCTTAATTTTCTAATATAAGCATTGAATGTTATAACTGTGCTTTCCTTCCTTCCTCTCTTTATTTGTCTACCCTCCCTCCCTTGATCCCACCTCCAATTTCAAGCTCCAGATTCCTAGTATTTACTTTCTAATAAACTTGTGCATACTTGGAATTTCCATGTGCGTGCTCTGCAAGTGACGAGTCAATAAACAAACAATTCCTTTATTGTAAAACTTAAACAGTGAATCTGTTTACATGTGCTTTATGTTGTTGATGCTGTTCTGACCCCTTGTATTCTAACCTACCTCATGCATGTGCCTTTCTGAATACAGAAATATGAGTAAATGTATCAGATACAACATGAAAGAATAACACCAGGCCATTCAAAGAGAAACCACGCACATATTGCCTCATATTGTATTCATTGGTATGATTTTGTGATCACATTGAGGCAAAAACTGTGTAGGTGGTAGGTGTTAACTTTCTTAAAAGGTAAAGAAAGTTAATAATGTTTCATCTCAATTTTGGAGTTGAATGGAAAGAAATGATGATTTCTCCATAGTTCACTTTCTACTGTACACTTCAGTGAACATTTAATGAGCTCCCTAATGCAAACTGAGAAACATCATGCCCTTATCTTAAAAATGTATATATGAAAAGTTCCTATTGTCCAATGGTGCTTTACATATTCCATTGTAAAGTAGTGACTTCTTATTTGCATCCAAAGATCACCAAGTAATCACTTGTATAATACATTTTTGAAAAGATGACAACAAATAGTCTCATGTCATTAAATAAATATTCAAATAAACCCATCAAACTTAAAGACTGAATCATTCAGCTTTCAAGTTTTGCCATTAAAACATTGTACGTAAACTGGAAACTGGTGGCTCAAGCCTGTAATCCTAGCTACTCAGAAAGCTGAGACTGAGAATTCTGATTTAAGGGCAGCCTTGGCAGAAAAGTCCTTGAGACTCTTACCTTCAATTACTCACCAAAATAGCCAGAAGTGGAAGTGCTCAAATAATTGATTTCTTTGAGCCAAAAAGCTCAGAAACAGAGTCCAGACTTCGTTTCTTCTCATATTTTTCCAATAGACACTACATATTTTTCTAAACACATATAGCGTGCTTCCCAAATGCTTAATCAGCTCAACGTATTTGGAGTAGCTAAAAATTAATAAGGAGCAAAAAAGAGAGATGACTTTTAGCATCTCAGACATCATGGAATACAGAGTGGGAGAAGGGTTTACTTACATTCAACAGCAAAGCCAGGGCAAACAGATCATTATATAGATTTGGTACCATAAGTCAGTACATATGAACCTCCAGGTTTGTTAACTGTCATGAGAACTCTCAATGAATCCACCAGACCCAAACATGGCATTTTTTAAAGGCCAATTTGTAATTTTTTTCACCTTTGTGATTCTCTCTTGAGGATATGCTCAGCAATTGTAGACTATCCCTGAAGTATTTGTGAGCTTAATGAAATACCAGGAAGTTATCTTCTAATTGTCAGGAACAATGTTTAATAATTTGTGAATTCATTTATATATTTATCTATTTTTAATTAATTGCATATGCCAGTGATTCATCTTTTGGTTTTGTCCAAAAGAATTGGAAATGAGATTTCAAAGATATGTTCATACCTTTGGATGCATTACAGCAAAATTCAAAAGAGCCAAGATGTCAAAATAGCCTAAATATTCATTCTTGATCAATAGTCTAATGAAATGTGGAAACTAAATTTAATAGGATAATTGTCTGGCTTAAAAAC